TAGGGAATGGGGTATTCGAGGGTGAGACTATTTTTGTAATTTAAAACAAATATAAAATCGAATAAAAACTTGCATTCCAAACTGTATTAGCAGGAAAATTTAAAATGAAAGATCGAGAATCGTTTTAAGAAAGTTTTTAAGAAAATTGTAGATATTCAGAATATTCTCTCTTCTTAGTGACTGAGAATAAAATGATGAAGGGGATGGGAAAACATGTATAAGTGTTGTTAGAAGTCTAAATTGAGAGAAAATTTAAGAAGGTTGGCAAAAAATAGGAAAGATCCTAAAGGACACCCCTTAGCTAGACATATTATTTTGTTTGGTTGATGAGTATTCTTTTCAAATTCAAGTGACCATATGTAGGTAATTGTGAAATTTTCTATTTTTGGTGGGCGCAAAGTCATCTAGCACTTTATCTAAAATGCAGTAATAGCTAGTTTACAAATTGTTAACGTATATTTAGCATTCTTAACAATAATAATCGAACTTACCTTAAATGATAGTTTACCTGTTACTTTTCGTGCTTAATGAACTTGAATGTTCCATCTGTATGCATTTCTGACCTAAGTTTACCACTTTTTTTTTCATTTCTATTGTACATCGAAATCCATATCAAAAGGGAATAAGTAAATTTGGCTATGTAAATTTCTGTTCCCGCAATTGTTTCATCAATTCTTTTACTCAATTTTAAAAAGTGGAATTCTTATTTGAGTGTTTCTACTGTTGCATTTAATTTAATTTATTACCATATGCACTATTTCAATGAACAACAAAATGCCTTAAAGCGATCTCTTGTTCTATAAGTTGTGTAATTTTTAATCTTAACAAAAATAATGCTAAGGAGTTATTAGGCTATTTCATATCAGTCTTCTTTTATGAACAATATTTTTTTTCTTTTATGAAAATAGTTCTTTCATAAAAAATATTTTTGAATTGCTTTTTCCATCTGAGAAGTTTAACGGTAAATCTTTAAAAAACATGGACATTTTCTTAAATATTTTTCAAAACTATTATTCTTCAGTTCTCTTATTGTTCTAAATAAAAAAATCTTTCTGATCTTACATAAAACTTAGATTTTCAACTTTTATACTCCTGATTTGTATAAGAAAAAGAATTTAGGTAATCAGTGCATGATATCGCTTTTTAAAATTAATAGCAAAATTTATGAGTGTCAAAAAATACTAGTAGCAAAACCAGGGTTCATACTAGTATTTTTAAAGTGATATTACATTACATTTTCATTTTGTGATGCAGAAAATACAACAAAATCATTATTGCATGACAAATTGCATTATGAAATGTTTATTGAATGCTTTATGTTAAATCGTTTTTCTCATATAAAAAAATTCAAGTAACTCTATTTTAAACTATTTTCATGCTACAAAATGTTTGTTTTTCGTTATATTAAATTTATACACTGAATTTGGCATATTTGACAAAATTCCAAATTTTTAAACTTTTGTTTTAGGAGTTTTGTTAAATTATTGGTATATTTATTTGTTAAATTAACTATTATATTACAAAATGAAGAAAAGGACATTATTTTTTATAATAAGGACACTATTTACCATATTTATTGCAATGAAGGAATTTTCAAAGATTCTTCATATTGAAGTTAAACTAATTTTTCACCTCATCTAAATTACTTTGTTTTCTTTCTTTTTCATCGTGCAGTCCTTCTTTTGAATCAATTATCTCACAGACTGTTCAAATTTCATAATTCTTGACTTTAAAAAATGAGCTTTGTCCTAAAAAACAAGGACATTGTATTTCATATTAAAGGATGTGGTTCTATAGGGACCCACAATATTCAAGGTCTTTTCAATATTTCCATTCAAAAATCCTGGCATGGTTGACAAATAACATGTTGCAATCAAGCATTTCAAAAATTAATTAGTCAAATTTGCCTGTCATCTCTGATTCAAAATTCTGCAGTAGCCATATTATCTTATTTAAAATGTTAAAATTTTAAAAATGAGGAGGAAAGGATAACAACTGTACGAACTGTAACAAAGTCCCAAAGAAAATTTGACAAACGATGGGAATTATGTCGCAAATCAAAGACGATAAATAAACACTCAAATTTGGGTGTCATAATGATATCTTATTAAAAATATTAGAAATTGAGAAAGCATATGGAAATGGGCAAAAAAATTAATGAAATCACTGAGGATTTGCAACTGTAAACTTAATCCTCCCAAACTGAGCATGTCAAAATACCAAAATTTAAAAAGCCATGTGGAAATATCCAAAAAGCAATGAATAACTGCTATACAACTACCGTATTTTTCGGCGAAAGCGCCGCTTCGTCACAAGCGCCGCACCTCGATAAAAAAGTTATAGTAAGCGCCGCTCCGGCGCAAGCGCCGCAATGGCGCTGAACCGCGCATATCAGCATCCTTTCAGAAGAGACCTTTAAATTACCATTTAGAATATCTGTATAATAAAAAATTAAATTTTTTTATGCATTTCATAAAATAAAGTTTTAATTTCTAAATTATAATAAAAAATTTCTTTTTCAGCAAAAAAAAAGCAACAAAAAAAGTTTTCTCTTTCAGCAAAAAAAAAGAAAAGAAAACAACAAAACTATATAAAATAAAGTTGTTCTTACTAGTTGGCACCGCGCCAAAAAACAGAAGAACAGCAAAAAAATATTTATATGTTCAGTAGCTGAATTAAGGCTGAACTGATTACAGAAATCCGTAAAACAATGTAATAAGAAAAATAAAATAAAAATTTATAAAAAAAAAGATTTTAAAATTTATTACCGTTAACAATTTGAGGAAAAACTAATACATAATAACGAAACAGCTAATAATAACGAAATAACTAATAATAACAAGAATAAGAAATAACTAAACAGGCCCCAAAAAAATTCTGAAGAAATTAGCGAACGGGAAATAAGTTTCACTTTCACAATCTTTGAGGGTGGAATTTTAGTGGGTAGAATGCCCTCTCCTTCAATGGAAATAACCCAATGTGACTCAATATTTAAAAGGGGTTGGGGAAAAGAACAGGGTATGGGACCCCTAATCCAGCATTCTAAAATTTGGCACTTAATCTGATCTAATCTTTTTTTTTAATTTTTTTTTTAAGAAATTTATATTGTTAAGACAAAAAAAATCAGCTATATTCTTTTTATTTTGAATTTTATTCTGTTGAAGTAACTTACTTTATTTTATCTTTTAAAAATAAAAACGAAGCCTGAAGAAAAAAATAATAATAAATCTGTATCAAAGGAAACATCTGTTTCTAAAGCAGTTTAAAATAAAGTGAGAAGTAAAAACACCTGCATTTCCAATGAACAAAATAAAGAAATGGAAGTTGGAAAAAACTGATCAATCAATCTTGACAGCTGTGCTTGCGCTTTACCCCCAAATTTCCCTCTTCTGTTTGACCATAAATTGGCCACACCCAGTTGACATTGAAACTACCACGTGGACAACAAAATGAATTCTATCCCTTTTGCGGTTTTTTATTCGATTCGTTAATTTTTTTTTTATTTTGCCGCTTTTTATTTTTTCTTGTTAATTGTTGCTTACTTGTTTTTTTTTTTATCGTTATTAGTTTTTAGCTTGTTTTTTGTTGTTATTCATTGTTAGTTTCTTAGCATTAATTGTTAAAAAAAAAATTTTTTTTGTAGTTCCCTGTTAGTTTTTTTTTTCTTCTTGCGAGGTAAGCGTCTTCTGTTAAAACAAAATGTTATCTAAAAGAAAAAACGAGAACTATGATCTCGCTCCAAAGAAGAAACGATTATTTCTTCTTCATAGGATTCTGATTATTTCTTCTTGATTATTTTATATAGATTATTATTTTGATTAGTAAAATTTTTCTTAAGATGGGCCAGTTTTAAATTCACCCCACCTCATCATAATCTACGATCGAAACTTGACTAAATTTATTGGTTTTTCTGAAATTAACAGTGGAATTGAATTATAGTAAAATTTGGGGGCCATATTGGAATTTCCGAAAGAGATTTCCGAAGTTCGGCATTTCGTCAGTACCGTGAGTGTCGGATTTAGGATCCTATTCTTCCTTTTCTGTTCGCTCAAATTACAATTGCCAAGACGCTAAATAGATTTCTAGCTTGCGATTTTTCCTTAAGCTGGGGTGGATACAAGATGCATACCTTTAAATTTTCTCCTTATGCGATGTTTTTTTAAAATTATTATTTCGTTTATTTATTTTCTTACAGGCTGCTGCCGAAAGTTTACTAAGAATTGGCGATGTTCTGCAGCAGATCGCGATATGGGCGAATATTTCGTCGACTTCGTTATTAATTTTTTTAAATAGTCTTTCTCTCAGAAAATTATTCCATCTAAAATAACTTTCCTTGACAAATTTTTTTGCTACTAAAAAATATTTCGTCGGAAGCGCCGCTGCATCGGAAGCGCCGCATGTAGGAAAAAAACAACTTTTTTTTCGATAGCGCCGCGGCTCTTCCGCCGAAAAATACGGTAACGGAAAGTAATATTCATTGAAGATGAAAACATCGTGAAGCGAGCACATCAACAAGAAATACTCAAATTTGAAATTTTCATGTAATAATAACATATTAAAAAAACGTTGTAATTTAGAAAATAAACCAAGTCTAAGTGACCGATGAAATGATCGCAAAACCTTGTAGATTTACATGGAAATCTCTAGTCTCAGACCAAAAGAGTTTATTAGAAATTTATGACATTGCATTTTTCTGTAACTAGCATTTGATCAACAAAATTTCGCCCTGACAGATAGGTTTCTCACACAGTAAGCTTTTAGAAAAATTAATCATTTTCTAGAGCCTTCTATGAGAACTCCTTGTGCAAAAAGGAAAAAAAAAAAAGAAACGAGCAGGATAGAATTTAATACTAAAAAAATAATTTATAGGTCTTCCTTGTGGAATTATTGGATTAGATTAATATAAATCAATGAAAAAATTAGAAGACTGAAAATAATAGCACAAATTGGGTGCATTAATGTTTATAATATCATAATCATATATGTTTATTATTTTATAGGTGTATTTGATTGGGATGAATATTTAAGAGAATGTAATGCTACTGCTGCACCTTCAGATTGTTTCAAGCAGGTACATAAAAAAATTATGCTATATTATTTTATGAAATCTGACATACACTCTATGATAATGGATGTGATACAAGGATATTTACATACTATTTAGCCTTTCTTCAGGGATGTGATTCTTTCGCGGATTCGCGGTTTTCTGCTTTTTTTCAGATTTTTCCATTATTTCTGCGGAAAATTTTTTTTTTTGCACAAGTTAAAATATTTTATGAGGAATATCATTTTCAGTGTCATTTCTGTTCCAATTTCATTCCCATTCATCAAATATTGGAAGTCCTCATTCCTCCCTCTGAAGTTTCTGTAAAAATCATTTCCTTGGGATAAAACTGATTGACTTTTATGCAGGGATGAGATTTTTTTACTTTTGTCTCTCAAATTTCAGCCTTTTAATCAAAAACTCTGATTCTCTAAAAGTTTTTTTTTATGAATATCCCGCTTTTTTTTTTTTTTTTCTTTTGAAAATTCAGTCGTTGAAATAAAGTATTAATATTTATTTCCGATTTTCAAAGATTAACAGAAAATTCGAACTACATCCTAGCTGCTAACCCTTCCGCATTTTTACATATTTTAGCTATTTTCTCCACTTTTACACACAGAAAATAATATTTTGCGTATTTATATCCGTCCGCCAGATAGCTTGTATTTTCGTAATCCAGAGTCCACTGTTTCCTGTTTTCTAGCGTGAAAGCAAATGGGGGGGAAGAGGTGGATTTGCGGTGAAACATTTATTTGCTCATTCAATTAATCTTGTAAATTTTTATTTATTATGTCTCAACAAAGATAATACAAACTAGCCTTTTATAAATCCCAAATCCAGACTCTGCATATATCTCAATTCTTATTCACGCGATTTTAATATCAATCATCGATTTTCGTATTTACCTGATTTAAAAGTTGCGCATTGCGATTCTTATTTGCGCTATTTAAATATCGTGCATTATGATTCTTATTTATGAGATTTAAAAATCCAATATCGCATTTTGTATTTATGCATTTTTAAAATCGCGATTTTATTATCAAACGTCGATTTTCGTATTTACCTGATTTAAAAGTTGAACGTTGCAATTCTTATTCAGGCGATTTAAATATCGTAAGTTGCGATTCTTATTTATGAGATTTAAAAATCCAATATCGCAATTTGTATGTAGCAATTCGTATTCACGTGAGCTTAAAATCCAATGTCGTGATTCGTTTTTGCGGTTGTAATAACAGACATCGATTTTCGTATTTATACACGCTTTAAGAATTAGACATTGGGATTCGTATTCGTGCGATTTAAAAATTATGCATCATGATTTGTATTTACGTGATCTAAGAACTCCGCATCATGATTTGTATTTTCACATTTTTTTAATTCGATATAGAGTTTCATATTCATGTGATTTAAAAGCCTCATATCAGGATTCATATTCTCTCAATTTAAAATCATGCATGTGGTTCATATATTCATACAATTTTAAAATTGATCATCGGGATTTATAATCACATGAGGGTACAAGTTTAAAAATCGTACTTTTTTTGTCAAATTTTTGGATAAATATATATATATATTCATTCTTGAATTTCCTCTTTTTTACTTTCTGACTGCTCTCATCCCTGCCTTTCTTAAGCAGTAATTAACAGAAAAGTGTCAATTTTGTATTTTTGAAAAATTTCAAATTTCATGACCCTTAAAAGTTTCATTTTACCCTTTCGGTGAAGAATAAAAAAAAATTAAAGTACCCCACATTTGTTTTTAATTTTCTTTTTAATATAATATTTTGACTAAAATTTGGTATTTAGCAACAGCATCAGGCCAAGTGATGCAGAGTACAGTTAATCTTTGTTTTTATGTAATGAACTACTAAAAACTTAGCTTAATCTAATAACGTGAGGCAACTGGAAAAAAAAATACAAATTTAATTATTTTAGCAAAATAATTCTGCTGATATATGCCTTTTAGTGTTATGCGTAATTTTGTTGTATTGATTATTTAATTTTTTTCACCATGTATGTTAGAAAATAATAATAAAAATGAAGAGGAAAAATATCCTTTTTTAAGGCACAAGTTTTAAAATCATTTTCTATATTATCAATTTTAAGCTTTCATTTTAGAATGAAATATGATAATCAGTACCTCAGAAAATCACATGTTTTAATTAAATATAAAATGTTGCCATCAGAGTATGCTTTTTTTTTCTTTCAGCTTTATTAAACACTGTGTTCTGTATTTATACTTTCCTTTTTTTCTCCTTTTCTTTATTTCTATCCCCTTATCTTATTTTTTTTTTAAACTTTTTTTATTAAAAAAAATTTATAAGGAGTTGACTTTCTATTTTTGTCATTCCCTTCCAGTTCATAATGAATACAAAGAATATGAGCATGAAAGTCTAACACAGCTCATATTTTTAAACTTCTGGTTTGACTCTCTGGAAAAGAAAACAAACCCAAATATTTTTTTGTTTTTTTCTTTGCAGAGTTATCTTTATTTAATCATTTATTCAATTTTGCAGTCTTAATTAAGGGCAAATTCAGAGTTGTTTTAACAGAAGTTAAAGTGTTTTATAATATAAAGCACAATAAAACAAATCATAGCATAAACTTTAAGAAGAAATGACTTCACACGATCCTAAAAGTGTATTCTCAATAGAGTGAGAAAAAGAATTAATATTTTATTTTGTTATGTTTTAATTTAGCTTATTAAAGATACTTCATAAGAAACGCATATCTGTACAATTCGTTAAATATTTTCTTAAAAAGATGAAACAAATGTTAAAAGATATTAATTAAGAGCAATTTTTCTCTTTTATGCTTACTTTTGCAATAATTTTTTTTAAAAAGCAAACTTGTATTTTGGGAGAATGAGTAATTAATCACCCACCAGTAAACTCTTTTCATTAAAACATGCTAATTTCAGAGCAGCAGAAAAACTTTTTTCTATTTTTAGTTGTGATGTTGAAACATTCTGTTAAAACAATCCACATTAGGAATGGCTATTTCGTCCTCTTTCAACACCTGTTAAGTGGTTAAATAGATTGGAAGGAGAAAGGTTTTAGTTGTTAATAAGGATTTTGATGTATGTAATAATTAGACGGGTGAACAGCATTTAACAATAAATTTAATTAAGCAAAATAAGTAACAAAAGTAACATCTTGGAAACGACATTTCTATGCCATCACAACTTTGGGCATACCTCAAAACCAAAGTAAAATAATACAGTTCTTGTACGTTTTCCCTCTCAGGAGAAAAGTTTAATCATTCTCCCTTTCAATTTGGATTAATGCTTTTGCTCTGATTCTCACTCCTCTGTCCTTTGGAGAAGCATCTGGCTTCAGAAGAAAACGATGCGTCTAACTGATATGCTACAAAGAAACAAACAAACAAAAAAGCAAACAGAAATATATGTTGAAAAAAAATCATAATTATATTACACATAAAAATGTAAGAGCACAGTGAAATATGACTCCTAAAACACTGAACAAAATTTTAAATTTTCAACACAGATTTACCTAAGTAAGGATAACATTATAACCATTTAAACAAACTATTAACTAAATATTAAACAAACTATATGCATTATACTTATTTTCATTCATGTGATATGTAATCTTGACAAGGCATCTGCGTTGCCATGTGCACTACCCCTCCTATAAGTAACTTTGACATTATATCTTTGGAATGCTAGTGCCCACCTTGTTAGCTCTTCACTATGCGGGGCACTACGTGTTAAATATGTGAGTGGGTCATGGTCGGAAATAACTTCGATTTGCGAATTAAAAATCCAAATGTCGAAACGTTTTAATGCTTCCAACACTGAAAAAGCCTCTCGTTCTATAGTGGACCATTTCTTTTCGCTTTCCGATAATTTTTCGCTAAAGAATGCAACTGGCATTTCTTTCCCGTGTTCATCAGTTTTTGATAAACAGGCTCCTACTGCAGTTGCACTGGCGTCAGTAAAGAGTTGAAATGGTCGCTTCATATTGGGAGTGTGCAAGGAGGGCATTTCAATTAATAGCTCTTTGAGCTTAGAAAGCGACTGTTCAACTGAGTCGTCCCATGGAATGTTGTTTGGAGTGTTTTTCATTGTAAGGTTGGTCAAACGTAGCATTACATCTGAAAAGTTCGGAATATAATCTCTATAGTAGCTAGCCAAACCCAGAAGACTTTTTACTTCCTCTTAGTTGATGGTCGGCTTAATTTTCGTATTGCTTCAACCTTTTCGGGATCGGGGGAATGTTGTCTGGATCCGATAATATGACCTAAAAATTTCACAGAACTTTTTCCAAAGTCACATTTTGTTGAAGTATCAGCAGCCAACAACTCAACTCTATCATAGTTGTGTATTTTGATTTAGATATGCTGTTATTCGAATTTTGTAATTAGGCTTCCAAAATTATTGTAAATATCGTAATATAAAGCGTTTTCCTTTTATGAAATTCCAAAGTATTTATTTCGAATCTTTAAACACACTTTTTAAGATTCACTTTTAACCCTACTTCGTTCAAGGTTCTGAACACTTGATCCTCCCAAAAGTCGAAAAATATTGCAACATCGTCAATATATGATCTCCATTTTTTTCGATGAGGCAACAGAGCTTTATCCATCGATTTTTGAAAAGTACTTTGTGCGTTTTTCATACCGAAGGATAGCACGTTCCATTGGTAATGACCAGAATGAGTTACAAACGTCGTAAGATGTTTAGCTTCCTTCTTCATTGGGATTTGCCAATAACCCTTAGTCAAGTCTAGTATGCTTATGTAATTTGCCTTACCAATTTCAAACAAAAGATCTCTGGCATTTTGCATAGGATAGGCATCAGTAACTGTAAAACTATTTAGCAATCTGTAATCAACGCACAGTCTAACGCTACCATCTTTCTTGGATACGCATACGATGGGATGAGCCCATTCACTTTCACTCGATTCTATCAGTCCTAGCCGAAGTAGTTCTTGAATTTGCCGATCCACCTCCTCTTGTAGAGCAATGGGTATTCGATATGGCTTCATTTTCTTTGGAATGAAATCCGGAGTTAAAGACACTGAATGTCCATTCACANGATCCTTATGAAATGTTTTTCTTTTTAATTTATTTTAATTTTGTTCTTGTTTATTTTATTTTACTTCTAAAATTTTTTTTGACGTAGGGGGTAAGGGTACTTTTGTTCTGAGTTCAGGGTCAAATTGAATTCACTCGGTGATGTGGGAAAGTACTGATTGTTTCGATTTACACCAGTTTCTTTTTGGGTTTTTTTAAAGCTAAAACTGTTTATAAAAAGTTTTTCTTTTTCAGTAATATCATTGATTGAATATGAATTTTTTGAGTGCTTGAAAATTTTTTTAAAGTGCTTGAAAAGTTTTTAAAAAGTGCTTATTTTTGATTCAAAGATTTGGCTACGCACCCTGAATCTATAATCGACGCACAGTCTGGCGCTACCATGTTTCTTGGATATGATACGATGGGATGAGCCCATTCACTTTCACCCGGTTCTATCAGTCCTAGTCGAAGTAGTTCTTGAATTTGTCAATCCACCTCCTCTTGTAGAGCAATGGGTATTTGATATGGTTTAATTTTCTTCAGAATGAAATCCAGAGTTAAAGACACTGAATGTCCATTCACATTTGCTTTTCCCAGGATGGAATCAAGACCATCTGCAAAAGATTGCAGTACGTTAACTAGCTTCTGTTTTTGCGAATAATTTAAATTTACAGAATTTTTAAGTACATGTTTCCTAATATCATCTTTAGTCAATTTTATAGTGTCTATAGGTGCATAATGCAAATCTACAAATTCTTGATCTTGGTCAAAAATCAAACCAATTTTACCAACTCTCGCTACATACGGTTAACTATGGTATGGCTAACTACTACAGTTAATTTTTAAACTATGTGGACAGGTTATGGGTGTTCATGCGTAACAACTAATACAGGGAAAAAAACACAGTTTTTAAAAAAAAATTGCCTGCCTTTCTTCTTTTAATTATAATTATTTGCTTATTATAGGTTTTAACTATAAGTTATCTTGTATATTCAATATCACAGTGATTATTAAAGGAAGTAAGTACAGTAGCTCATTATTAACATTCCTTCAAACTTTGACTATGTTTCATAAAAATTTGACAGAAACTGGGTTTTAGTTTTGAACAGTCTATAGAATTAAGCAGTATAGAGAGCGCTTGCCTAGTTTTTATTTTAAGTTCTGGAAATTTCTCTGAAGCTATGTCTAAATTTCAGAAGCTAATTAAGTTCAGGGTTAGAAAATTTTTTAACAATCCTTTTTATGCAGCATAAAAGCAGTATCCAGTAAAATAAAAAACAAGAAGATAACTATCTGGTCCAAAACATTTACAAAGATAGTCGGAGATAAGTTGCTAAATGGATTCTTGGGATTTAAAAGAAGTTGACTAGAAAAAAATCATGAACAAGATTATCTAGAAATTAAAGACATTTTCAGGAAAATAAAAATTATGTTGTTTCTTGCATCTTTGCACAATTTGTGGGACCCTAATTTTTATGTATAGAAATCAGTTCATTTCAGGGTTTACTCTGTACTTAACTAATACAGCTACTCTTATTTAATATTTCTTTTCAGTATCCTATTCCTCCAAAGAATGAGTTCAGATTAGGTATGAAACTGGAAGCTTATGATCCTCGCAATGTGACTTCAACATGCATTGCCACTGTTGTGGCAATGTTAGGTCCCCTACTTCGACTGCGTTTAGATGGCGGTGATAACAAAAATGACTTTTGGCGATTGGTTGATAGCTCAGAAATACATCCCATTGGTCATTGTGAAAAGAATGGTGGTATGTTGCAGCCCCCTCTTGGATTTAGAATGAATGCTTCATCATGGCCCATGTTTCTGTGTAAGACTTTAAATGGTGCAGACATAGCTCCAAGTAGCATATTTATGGAGGTAATCATCCGATAGTATTTATTGAAAAAAAAATTTTATTGTTGAAAATCTTGTATAAATGATCTCTAATTTTAAGTAATTTTTTGCTTGGTTAAGCATGTATTTTTTTTATTATGTATTTTTTAAGCATGAATCTGATTTAAAAAATAATATTGACAGTTAGAAAATGTCAATAATAACATTGTCCAATATAACAAAAATTTCTCAAGCAATACTGCAAAAATACGTATTGTGGTCCAAATAAATATTTTAGAAGTATTTATCCTTGTTTACCAAAAATATAGCTGAATGTTAAATGACAAATTCTCATCAAATTACGTGTATACTAAGCTGTCTTTATGGAATTTACCTGACACTATGCTTATATACACACTGATCATTTTCTTCTATAAATATAATCATCATTGATTTGGTTCATGCAGCTTTAAAAAGAATTAGAATTCAAAATAGATTTTCAATGGTCCCAGAATATTTGATTTTCTTGATAATTTCCGAAAGTATTTGAAGAATAATTTTAAATTTCACTTTTACTGGAGAAAAAAAGCTGTGGTAAAAGTGATCATCACTGGGGATTATTGGTAAAAAAATGTCATTTATTGATTACATGTAATTCTGTAAAACAAAGTGAATATTTATTTTAAATTTAGTTTTATATTTAGAACATAGTCTATTCTGTAAATAAAATTTTAAATAATTTTGTTCTCCATTTCATTATTATGTTTGAAATTATTGAGCCACCTAATTTTACATTTTACCAGTAAAAAATTAAGTGGCTGAATAATATTTTTTATAATTTCTTCTCAATTTTAATTTAAAATCAATTTATTAATTTCAATACAAATTTTAAAAAAAATTTTTTTCTTCCATTTGGAAATTTTTTATGATGAAATTGAAAAAATCTTGAGAAAAATCTTGATAATGCATGCAAAGAAAACCATCTTTATGTGGGCAGTTTATAACATTTATAATAAGAACCAGAACAGAAATAAGTTTTGACAAACATTTCTGTGCTGTTAATTCAATAATAAATAAATGACAGTTTGATTAGTGGCATATAGTGTGTTAGTAAATTTATAAATTTTTGATTTTTTAAATTGACGAAGATGTTTTATATTTTCAATTTATTGCGTTTAAAGTAAAGTATGTGTAAATAAAGTGTATTCATAATCTACTTGTATTGTACCTGTCTATTAGAATAACAATGAAGCACATAATTTTTAAGGAGCTAAAGTAAGGTTTTAATTATTTTGAAAATAGTGTAATGCTTTTCATAATGAAATCATATAGTGTTGTATGCAACATATGTTATAAATGGTATACAACCTGTTAACTTAAGCTTTCAATTATAATAAAACTTATGAAAATTTCATTTTCTGACCAGATCTGTCAGGAAAAAAAGGTAATCAGTTCTGAAATTTTTGAATTTTTTTTTATTTAAATTGTTTTGTATCATCACAAATGTACTGCCGAGTACACATAAATGATGTATGGTATATAATTTTAAAATATCTGTATCCCTATAACTTAAATACTACAGTAGAGAACCATTTATCCGGTATCCAGATAACCGGGAAACCAGAAAACCGGGGGAAATTTTGATCGGTTTTCCCGCCGTTTTAAACTAGAACGATTATGAGAAAAAGCGGAAATTGAACTCATCCTTGAAGTTGAGTAGAGGAAAATGCAAGGAAGGGGAGAATTTTTCCCCCCGTTTACCCAGAGAAATGTCATTTCCTCCGTGACCTTGAAGGCAGAGAAGGGAGGAATGTTTTATTTTCTTCTTTAGGCCGTCAATCAAGCTCGAGGGGGGTGGGGAAAATGCATATTTATCTATTTGACATCGATTAATAAAAATAAAATCTTTTTCTTCTGAATAAATTCTCATTCTTTGGAAGTGCGGTATCATTTGCAAGTTTTTATTGATGTGGAATCACATCTACTATAATTAAATATCGTGTTTTTATCAACAAAAAAATAAATAAAAGAAGAATTGTTTATTAATTTAAACATAGGATTATTTTATGAAGCAGATTGCAGTTTTGTTTTTCTGATTCCACTACGTTTGATATTTTTTTCTTTTCACGATAAATTTCGCACTCAATAAATTAATTCTTTTTATTCATAAATTTTATCATTAGGTTTTTTTTTAAAATTCCGTTGATCTTGCCTTGTTCCGGGTTTTAATATTTATGCTAGTGCCTTTTTAACTATCGTTTGGGTTTGATAATTTTCAAGTGTTTTTATTTAGATTAATGTTTTCCTTTTATTTTATTGTTTCCCCCGTATAATTAGGTATGAAATATATTGCGTTATTTAACCATTGGTTTTGTTTATATTAGTTAATTTAGGAATTGTAATTACTTTTAAAAAATAAATATGAGAATTTTGTATTTTTTAAACTTGTTTTTCTTGTCTAAACTTGCAAATTTTTTTTATTCTTTTAAATGTTATTTTTCTACCATATTTTTTTTCTTTTAAAAGTTTGGAGTACCTTTCTTTTTTCTCTTACTTTATGCATTACACTTTTTCCTTGTAATTCGGGTTAGATAAAACATCGATTAACGACACTTTTTGGTCGATCCAGAAAACCGGGAAATTCAGACATCCGGGTAAGTGATGGTTCCGAGCATCCCGGATAATTGCTTCTCTACTGTACTAAAATAAGAACTTTTATGAGAATATAACCTAAATGTCTTGAAAGAAAGAATTATAAAACTACCCAGAGTTAGTCCATCTCAAAGATAATTTAATCCATGATTTGTCAAATAATGCAAATATTGGCAGAGCAGTTTTTAAACACAGACTCATTTTTTTTGCCCTGATTATCCATCATTTAAATTTCTTTTTTATTTACCCGATCTCTAATGTACTTTTATTGATATTAAAATGTTTTGATGCTCAGCTGAAATTTATACCATTGTCACTGTGCCATTTTATAACTTCTAGTATTTTGCTACCATGTACAAATTGAATTTAAGCATCTTGCTCTAGATATAATCAATGCAGACTGATTCTCTAATGGCCGTGATCTTATCCAAGTCTCATGACACACCCCATCCTATTCCTGTTTTTCTTCATGAATATAATTCGAATGAAGAGTGACAATACTCATGTTTTACCCTAACCCTTTCCGATTAGTCCATACTTCTTCGCTTCAAGGACAGTAACAATACCAGTGTTTCACCCTCTCTCCTATTCATTCTTGCTTTCCCCTTTCCCCCAGCTAAAACATTCCTTCTCCTTTGACTTCTAGGCAGGCAGTATCTGTTTTAAACTAATTTTTTTCAGGTAAAAAAGACACTGCTGTTGTTGAAGAATTTTGGAAAAGAACAGGAATTGGTGCTTATTCAGTACTGATTTGCTGCTTGAGATCAGTTTATAACTTTGGGTGGGGCTTACTAGAATCTAGGGACTTGTTCGGTATTTTACAGTAACTCCAGAAAACACCAGTGTCCCAAAGTGACCTCACCTCTAATAAAGTATCCCCGTTTTATAGTTCGTTAAAGTAAAAGAAGCAAATAATTTTATTATTGCATGTTCTGTTATATTAAGAGATATAATTTTTGAAAAAATTAAAAGGTATTTTTGACCTTTAATATATTATATAGCAGTTGTACTTTATAGACATAAAGAAACTGCATTATTGTTAATTATTCTGTCAGTCTTATAACTCTTTTAAAAGTAAAGCATGGTTTGTTCAAAATAAATGCAGTATTTAATAGTTAAGAGCAAAATTTGCAATAGTATTATGTATTCATAGTATAGCAACATCATGTTAGAATGTCTGCTTTTGTTTGGACCACAAGGGTCATTATAATGAGTGTTGACTGTATTAATAACTAAAAAGAATTTTAAAATTGTTAACTATATATTTTTTTCCTTTATTTCACTCTTGAATTAAATTCTTGAAATTTTATGGCTATTTTTTAATATACTTATCTACTAGGGAATGAGAATTCTTTTTATACTCTATATTTTAACATTTAATCTGCTTTTTGATATTAAAAAAGGTATGCTTTTGTCCTGGTAAAATAAAGCACAAATTGTAAGAAGTTAATACAAAAATCAACAAAATGAAAGATAACAATAATAAATAAAAATAAGATTACATGAAATAACTTAGTTGCTAGACCATTTTTTTTTCATAATATTAAGCAACTATCAATTGGTAAACTAAAAGAAAAAGACAAATTTTATTTTTTTATAAAAAGTATATTCTTAATTTAAAAACTGGTGATAATCAATCAAATATAAAAATTTTCTTGATTTTGACCACTAGTGTATATTGTTTTTTCATAAATTATGATTAAAGAAGTAGCCTTATTTTGAAGTGTAGGAATTTGTCAAAAGATAATAGCCTTTACAAATCATGGTAAATTTTTAGTTATCATCAATTTGAAAAATCAAAATTTTGAACATACCCTGTCTAACTCAAATTCTTGTAGCCTTTGCATATCATGATAAGTTTTTAGTTGTCATGAATTTGAAAAATCCAAATTTCGAACATACTTTGTCGAACCATGTGTGATTTCAGCCTGCTGTTATAAAAATTCAGTTTTAAACTTAATATATATATTGGGTTGTTAGGAAAGTAATTTCGTTTTTTATCAACTGAAGACTTTTCAAAGCCAACTTCACTCTTAAGTAATCCCTATACTGTCAGACCTCAATATAAGGTCTCCCTAAGGGACATCACAAAAGTGATCTTTTAAGCAGGGTGATCTTTTAACCGATTCATTAGCAGTTCGTAACTAAGCTCGTAAATAGTACACATTACGATTTTTTTAAAAATGGTAATACAAACGAAAATGATCAGCCATAAATTAAGTATTTAAGTCAATAAATTTTAACAGAATTAGTAAAGAATTAATGAAAGTTAGGTATTTTTTTTAAAAAAAATTTTACTTAAAATAAATCTATTTACAAATTTCCTCAAAGTGTACATACATACATTACATCTTACCTTATTTAAAATAATCATTTATGCAGGTCTGTCTCGTTTATGGTTTCATTTTTCGAACAATGTTTTCTAGATTTTGTAACTTCTCAAAATATTCCTCAGCTCCCTCATGGTTTAAAAAAAAATTTGTATGACATTCATTGCATTGAAGGCTTTCGCTTGGGTTACAGTCTCATTGTCCTCACTGTCCACTGTGAAACAATTTCAGAAATTGTAGCTTCAGAAGTGGTTGCAATTTCCTCATCAATCAAACCATATTCAGCCTCCCCTTCAATGGCATGGCCATGATTTTTCACATCTTCCATCAGAACAGATAGAGGAATATCGTCTTCTTCGGTTTCGTTATCCACGATATTCAGAGAACTCACAAAACCAGCATGACGAAAACAATTGAAACTGGGGAGGGGAAACTCTCTCCAAGTCCAGGTGTGTTCGTTGGCTGCAACGTTTTCCTAGAACTCGAGAAGGGTAATTGCCTTTTAAGGAAGTTAAATAGGCTTTTGTTTGAAAAGAGCACCGCTCGCCTCAGATAAAAATGATCTTATAAGCAATAACGATTATTAAAACTTGACCATATATCCGATAATTTGTAACAAATAATTCCTTTTCAGTGAGCCGAGACTTTGGAAAAGTGACCTTATATCGAGGTCTGACTGTATATTTTGATGTACCAAGATTTACTTCTAAACTAGTTTGATTGATTTCATGCTGTTGTTTTTGATTGGTGCCCTTTCAAATATGCAAAGTAAAAAAGCAGCATTTTCAGCATATTTTACTTTTTTACTGTCAAAAATATAAAAATACTGTTCAAGTGAGGAAAGAATTATCCAGTGTCCATTGAGAAGGTGAATTGATTGGAAATTTTGCAAACCAATTTTTATAGTACGCCAGTGTCAAAATTGGTTTCCAAAATTTCTGTTTTGAAATTAAGAGACACCAACACTAGTTCAAGCTCTTGAAATTTTTTTCAATCGGAAGAGTCTCAAGGAATCACCATTTTAAACAGTTTGTATGATATTTTAATTTTCTCGGCTATAGTGCCATCTGTGAATCAAAAGGCATTAACCTCTTTCCATACACTCAGCTTCTTATGACCCAATCGTTTTAGTTAAAATGGCTGGAAAACCGGTTTTCTGGATAACTGATTAAGGGTTCTGTTCTGTATAATTTTATGAAATATTTGCTTAAACTTGTTATAATGTTATTTGAATAATTTTTTTTTGTTCTCCAATGTATATATACTAGGAACCACCATCACCAAAACGCAACAAATTTGAAATTGGTTATAAATTAGAAGCATTGGATCGAAAAAATCCTCACTTAATTTGTCCTGCCACAGTTGGTGCTGTGAAAGAAGATATGATCTTTGTAACTTTTGATGGTTGGCGAGGAGCTTTTGATTACTGGTGTAAATTTGACTCTAGAGATATTTTTCCTGTTGGATGGTGTAGAGCTAGTGGACATACCTTACAATATCCTGGAAATAAGGGTAATTATTAAAAATTTCTTATCATAACTTGCTGTATATAATCCGCAATATATATTATCTTAAAATGAATTCTATCAATGTTATCATATATAAATTATGATTTTGAAAATTTGATGAAAATTAACAGCCAATTCCTCAAACCGGAGAGTTTAAAAACCTATGAGCACTGCAGTAGCATAGAGAAAAAAGGCTATGGCATTATGGCTGATAAATTTTATATTATTGCTTATTTAACTTTAAGCATTTATGAAAGAAATTAAGTTAGCTGTTTAAAAATGATAATATTTTTACCATGGAATAATTTCCTTACATAAATAGATGTTTAAAATATTAATTTTCTTTTTTCGTTTCTAATGTTTCTTTTTGCATAATAGGCGTTTTGGCCTACAGTGATTACACTCCTCTTTTAAGATGCATCTAACATTATCTCTAATCATAGAGTTTGCTCTGGGCATCCAAATGCCTCAGCGCTATACTGAGGCAATGTGTATGTGTAATTAGAAATATAATTTGATAGATTTAAACATGAAACTTTTCTTAATTTAATACTGTTTATAACTTTTATGCTGAAATATTTATCCTTATCTTTCAAATGAGGGATTTATTTTGACACTTATCACGATTAAAACAATAAATGTCAGATGTGATTATAAGAGCCCACATTGTAAGTCATCCATCAAATGAAATCAGATACTTTTTCTTAATTTAATATTATTATTTACTACTCACTTATGGATCATTATTTTTCAAATTAACCAAAGGATTGTTACAGGTTGTTATAATGATATGACCACTCATTTTGATGTTAAATAGAACTAAATATTAATATATTTGACTGCAAATGCTGCATTTGTAAGACAACACCATTGTAAAGATTGCAAAATAATTATATTTAAATAAAGTAGACATCTTCTATTTCAGCAAAAAATTTTATTTCAATACCATTTATATTTGGTACAATCACAATAGTTAAAAATTTTCATTATAGAACAATAAAAGTACTTTTTAAAAATATATTAATTATTTAAAAATATTTATTTGCAATTCCTGTTAAAATGGATTTCAGTGGAAGTCCCGTATCTGAAGTCTGTGGGACTTAAGCAAGTCCAGATAATAGATTTTTTCTATAAAATAGACCACAACATAAACAAAAATCAAAACAAGTATTATGCAACGGAAAATAAAAAAATAATAAAAAATTTCAGTCGTTAACGTTCAACTATTAGAATGATATCTAATGAGAGAGAAAAATAGTTGTAGGGAACTCATTACTCAAAATATTAAAAACAAAGCAAATTTTAAAAAATGACAAACAATTGATTATAATTAAACAAAAAGGTTACTTTCTCCACCACTGAACTAAAGGGATTGAAGCAAGATCTTTCCAGTCATCCTTGAAGTTGAGTTGATGAAAAGGTAGGGAGAGAAAAAAACATTTTCTTCCCATGTGAAGAGAAGAAAAGATGTTTAACGAGAACATCTTAAGTCGGAAGGAGTGGGGAAGTGACAAAGTCTTATTTTCTCTCTCCAATTAACAGCCGTCAATCAAACCTAAAAAAGTGGCATGCTGAGTTCATTTTTTGTCTCTATTTACAAGAAAGAAATGTTTGCTGCATGCATAACAGTGAACAGTTGGTGGAAGGGAAATAATTAAAAAATACATTGCTATGCTTCACTGAATATAAAGAAGTAATGTAATATAATGAATAATGGAATATAATATAAATAAACATTTTAATTGTAATACGAAAACGGCTAAAATGGAGAGAGAAAAAAATTTCAATAATAAAGTTGAATATTGTTGTTTTATATTTTTTTGTTTTTAATTCAAAACATAATTGACTGTGCTAGATGGAGAAAAATACAAAAGCCATTTAGCATTGTATGAAATTAAAAATTCATTGAAATGAAGCGGAATATACACTACTAAAATAAATGTTGTAACCATTTTCCAAGAAACAATAAGAAAACAAAATACCGGGCTAGCTCTGAAATGATTTATTTATATAGTTACTAGCAGAGCACAGAAAACAGTTACAAATTACTAAAAAAACATATTAACAAAACGAAACTCACATAACACTACACGGAGAGATTAATTTGGAGATGTTCTCCAATCGGTTGCTGCAGTTCAACTCAAAAGTTTCGCCACAAGATGGCGTGGTGGTAATTCAGTTTTAAAGTAGTATAGTTCTGTTACAATGTTAAAATAATGCATTAAGAAAGAGATAATTGCATGCCCTACCATCTGAAGGGGGGGGGACAAGTAATTTAAAATAAGCAAACAAAAAACATAGCAAAAGTAAAAAGTACATTGCTTAAGCAGTGAAATGCCCATGTCTAAATTTTTAAGCAATTCCTCTTTTTCTTTAGTTGATAAAGAAACATTTTTTTTTTTTGACTGATGTGAAGACATTAGGTAAAATAATAGCACATCAACAAAGATAACTTAATAAAAAAAAATTAAACACAAATAACAATAACTCAATTAAAACTTAATAAAAAATAACCCGTCGAAAACTTAACACAAATAACTTTAAAAACAAGCAGTTAAAACTCACAATTCCTTAATTCAGAAAGCTAGATCGGTAAAAATGTCAAAAGTGTTTCATTGAATCGTTTTAAGTATGAGATACTTAGCAATAGAAATTAGTTCTGGAATCTTTTGCAAGATGTATTTCACCAAGGTCAATTACTGTATTAATGTATTGCAAGTGTACTGGAAGTTTGAGGGAAAGATATAAATTAAAAGAGAATTAATTTCAAAGAAATGTAATTTAACTCTTGGTTGAGAATAAAGGGACTTTCCTTAGGCATGTTCATATTTAAGTAGAAGGGAATCTTGAAGTCATTTTTATGTCGATGGTTAAGAAAGAATGTTGTCCCCTTTTTCTCCACCCCAGAAATATTACATGATCAGAAGAAGAAAGATTATTTCTCCAGGATATGTATCTTTTCAAACTTATTCAGATTTTTCATTTGGTCAATCCATCCCTAGTTATCTAAGAGGTTTCAATAAATGTCCTTTTTTTCAAGCCAGCTGTTATACTTGTTTGGACATCACTAGAAGAGGAGGATTTAGTTGCATTCTTTTAAACAACTATCCATCTCTTACTCCATCTCAGAGGAGCAGTATGCGCTTGGCGATCTTGGTAGTTCTTCTAACATGTGTCAAATGACACTTAGTTCTCCCAAAACTGCAAATACATAAAATAAAGGGGGGGGGGTTATAAAAGGGCAAGATGAAGATATGTTTATTTATTTTTATTGTTAAAAAGTGTCCTGGAAACAGACCCATCTGTGAATAGGACAACCGGATATGGGACTTCAAACTGTATTATAAAAGAGTTTATAATTTTAATTCTGAAAAAGTTGTGAACATGAATTTAATAATTTTATTTACTGTTTTTTTTAATACTTTTGTTATTTAAACATCTAGTCCAATTTTTATAATCTGTAATTTCTTTTATTTCTTCAAAAACAACTACTTATTGTATGGTGATGCATTTGTGGGGGCTGGAATTGTAGTGGTAAATACACTACATAACTCCAGCAGCAGAATTTTATCTGTTTTAGAATTCGATGAATGGGTATCACTAGTTGATTCATTTCTGTTTTGTGAGATGCCGAGAGAGCTGTGTTAAGATCACCAAACTTTAAGTGCTGGTTGTGAGAGCTGTATTGAGATCACAGTTGTGAGTGTGGCGTGTTCGCTCTTGTATTGCAATTAGCAGTCAAGTGTGAACAGGTCTATTGTATGTGATCGAGACTGAGTAGCAATAGTACAAAAAGGACAATGTCACTGTCACAAATAGCAAGTCAACTGTTCACTATGGTCTATCCATCCAACAAGGCGTTATCATATCGAGGTTCACATTACTGTCAAGATAGGAGTTTTCAGATCACGTCCGAAGGTCACCAATGTGGGGATTAGAATGCCCACGATGTCAACCTTCATCTATCAGAAGGTATCCCAAGATAGAATCGATTTAACATATTTTATATACTAGTGAATTAGAATTGTATCATTGTAGTGGTAGTTACACTACATTTTACTAGTGATTTGAAATTATATTATCGTAGTGGTAGTTACGCTAGAAATTCAAATCTTATGAGCTTAAGTAAAAGATTAAAGACAGTTAAGATTTTTTTCCCTTGATTCTTCTACAATAAAAAATTTTTATTCGATTTTTTATTTTTTATTCGATTAAAAAATTTTTATTATGGTTTTCTAATAAATACAACAAAAATAATTCAAAACCGCTTCCCACAAACGAGATGCCTCCAAATGGATTAAAGTAGCAAACAACTGAGAATACTGCTTAAAAAAATTTTGCATTAAGATATTTTTTCTATTTAAATTTATTGCTTAACCAGAAACAAAACAAGAATAAATCCTGAATGCATTTTCAGACTTATTGGAGAATACTGGAGTAGTTAACCGTAAGACTCAAGACATACTGAAGTTAATTCACTCGACTCTGATAGGACTCATGAGAAACTTCCACCTATCAGAAATGCAACTTACACTTTAGATTAGTTTTGCTTTTGAATATTAAAATGCAAATAAAAATATTCCTTAATTTATATGCATTATAATCGGGGATTAATACACATCTTTTTAAGTTATAATATTAAAGGAAAAATTATTTAAGCAATAAAGCTGATTCCGCTAGCAGAAAGACGCACAAATTCCTTTATTTTGACAACTATTTCTTTAAGTTGTAAAAGGATGTTTTCCTTTCTTTAAATATATAATAATAATTAAGAGGATATTTGTGGAATTTCATACTTCATTGTGGTTTCCTTTTGGTTGGATTTCTATCAGCATCATTAATAAGATTCATTTTATTTTCCAAGGAAAAATATTTAATTTTCACCAAGACCCTTCAGCAATAAACACTGCTTCTTTTCCAAAATTTCAAATAGTAATTGATAAAGGAGAAAAAGTATTTTTTTTTTAATGTATGTGTCCATCTTGAATCTGTTCCTTTTCAAATTGCAAAGCATTATAATGCTGTAGAAATAATGACAATGCAAACAATATAGGCAAAGGAGAATAAATTTACTCGCTGCCCACAGGAGTTATCCTTTTCTCCCAAACTGAGTGTGGAACACTAGTCTATTGTACAATGTGCAAATTAAAAAACGGACCACTCAGAATAACTTTTAATCTAATGATCCGATCTTCACGTTCTACAACTCAATGGCTCGAGGGGGTGACCTCAAATATGCAAATTAATTAATGAAGGCAATATTTTAAGTTATGAACTCAGACGCAAAAACATTCTTTCTCTGAATAAAATTTTTTTGTTGTTGATGGATTTGGATTTCTGACCTTTTAAAGATCAGGAATAGCCACAATCTGGGAAATATGGTACCAATAGTTGAGTCAGGAGAGGGGTCCTAAGTCTGGGCCCCTTAATATTAATTTTTGGGTATTTCGACATATCTCAAAAACTTTTTAAGCAAATTTTTTTTAAAATTCAAAAATTCATTTATTTAAAGATAATTTTATACAAAATTTAACTTTTAGTAAGTATTTATTATTTTATTTAATAATAGTCGAGAAAATTTTAAAATGTTTTGCATCATTTTAAAGAATGCAATTTTAAATGGCAAAATACAAAATTTAAGCGAAATCGGTCAAATAGTTCAACAGAAATTGAATTTTGAAAAATGGTGTGTTTAGAATTTGGTTTCTCAAGAACTATACTGTGAATTCTGCTCAAATGTTGCCATTTAAAATTAATTTATTTAATTATTTATTATTTTTGCCATTTGAAATTAATGATGTAAGAAATTGTATGCTTTACAATTCTAAGTTTTTTTTATCTATAATTAAATAAATTAATAAAAAATAATTAATACTTACTAAAAGTTATGTTTTGTATGGAACTACTTTTCAATATACGAATTTTATAATAGTGTGCAAAAATTTTCAATTCACTTGAAAAGTTTTCAAGATAAGTCAAAATACGCAAAAAGTAAAATTAACATTAAGTAGTCCAAGCTTTGACGAAACTATGTGGACCTAATTTCCCAGATTGCAGCTAATCCTTATATTTACGTGGTCAGAAATCCGTCGATTAAAAGTTATGTTTTTTTTTCTTTGAGGAAGTACATTTTTGTGTCTGATTTCATAAATTAAAATATCGCAGTCACTAATGATTTGGAATGTTTGAAGTCGCCCTTTCAAAACTTTAAGAATTAGTCCTAGAACTTGAAGATCCGATCACTAGACCAAAAGCTATTCAGGGTGGTCCGTTTTTTATTTTGCACACTAGACATAGGTTATGTCATACTTGCCCTATTATTATGAATACACTCACAGTAATTAACTATTGCCAAATTCAATTAACATTATTATAGCAAAATAACTAAGTGATTCATTTCTCTCTAATCACAACAGACCACTAAATTGCAGCTTAATATAAGGAAGCTATGAAAAATAAATGAAATTTACTAGTGATTAATTAAATATATTTTTACCTGAAACCAAATAAGCCAAATATAAATCATTGAATTTAAAAGATTTTGACAATAATGTTAATTGGTTTAGTGTTTGTTGTGTTCTATAAATAAATATCAAAATCATTTAGCCAAATTAATAAGAAAACAGTTACTACCACGTGTTCTCAAATGAAAACAAGCATCATACAAATTAACTAATGTATTCATCACAAATCATTACTTGAAATTGTAGGTTATACAGTGGGAAGTCTCGTATACGGAATGATCAGAACTTCAGCAAGTCCGAAAAATAGATTTTTCCAGGTGATAGGTCTTTAAGGTAAACAAAGATCAAAACAAATGTTATTTAATAAATTAACCAATGTTATTTAATAAAATTTCAACACAAATAAATTAGATAAATAATAGTAAAGATATTTAATATCAATATTTATGCAGTAAGCTTTGTTATTAGTTAAATTACTATAAATTAACAAAGGAATATTTACTATGAAAAATAAATATCACTAAAATATTTTTAAAAAAATGCAAGCAGACGATAGATGGCATGAACTTTTTCTTTCTTGAATAAAGAAACTTTTTTTTTTTAGATATTCAGTTAAAAAAATTTATAGTCATTAATATTCATAGTTTATTCATTTCACTGAAGTTTGTTCTTCTTCAACTGTTTTTATCTTTTCAACTACTCCTTAAGTGTTAAATATTTAGCTGTCCTGAAAATAGCAAGAGGGTGTGAAAAATATGACTTTGAGAAAAAGAGATTTATTTATTTTGATTGTTAAAGTATCTGGAAAAAAGACGTTTCCTGTAAATGAACATCCGGATATGGGACTTTGTACCGTAGATTATTTATTACCCATACTAAATTAGAAAACCCATCAATAAAACCTTATATATTTTCAAACAATAGACATGTTTTCTAACACTTGCTTAGTTAAGCTTGAACTTCATTTATCTAGTCCTAATTTTAAATTGCTACATAATTTAATTCTATGCTAATTATAAATATTAGGGGAGACAGAATCTTGAAAATAAAATAAAAAAAGAAATATTTATTATAACTTCATTGTTGGCGTTCCCTTATTTTAAGTAGAATATCATTCTGAATTTACATCATTGTTTTCTGCATAGGTTTATTTCAACTCCAGGTATCGTATTTCTTTCACTTCATTCCTGTCCCAACTGACTTCCTTTTGTGTTTCCTTCTTATTCCTCCTCTCCATCAAAAAGTTACACATCTTTCGTAGAAATTACTTTTCCTGTCTTTTTAATTAAAACATAATCTCTCCGAAGAAATTCAAAATAATATATTGCAGACATGTTGCTCCATGACTACTTGGTTAATTTCAATAGATAGTAAGGAATTATAATTTTCTTTATGTTGAATTAATTACATGAAAGAATAAAATTGATAGTTTGTTTAAAAGTTTAGCTAAAATTATAATTTTTCTTTAACAAATATTGATTACAAGATTAATTTCAAAGTGAATGCGATTTCTAGAAATTAATCAAAAAGCAATAAATTAAAATTAAATTCTTCTCCTTAAGATTGTTAAAAGAAAATTTTAAGATTGCTTTATAAGATGATACACTTAATCCAAAGTTAACTTTTAATGTAAGGTAGAGGGGGTTAGTGTAGACAAATTGATTGTTTCTATTATTTATCACTCAAAAATTTTTGCCGAAGGACTAAACTGTGTTATACTTTAATATATAGTTACAAGAGAAAGCATTAGAATGTTAAGTAGCAAATTACAGAAAACGAGGTTTTTATAATGGAAACGTAACATATTAATTTATGTTATATTTGCAAATTCCGACTTTTTTTTATTGTTTTTAACAATAGGAAATCGGTTAAGGATGAATATGCTTATTTCATGTTTTAATAGTCACTTCTAATATGTCTCTTTTTAATTAATGAGTAATGCACTTAAAATAACAAATGACTGCACAGAGCTAGTATTGACACATAGGTGTGGAGTTATTATGAACATGTCAATATTAACTGAATCAATTTGCAGAATCAGTAATTTGATTAGGTTAGGATTTTTATGCATAGTTTTATATTAATGAATGATCCTTCTACTTAGGTGCAGCTGGAGGAAGGTACAAAGTTAAAGTTCATTTACCAGTTACTAACTCTACTTTAGCTCCAACAATTAATTCTCCTGTATCTTCACAAAATCCTAGCAGTAGCACCAGATCTAAAATAAATGTAACTGATGGCAGCCTGAAAAGCCAATCTCAGTCTTACCTAGCAGTTTCCTCTGGTAACTCTTCTGTTCTAGAAAATGAAGAAACGAACCAACCAGATTGCAAACCGTCTTCATCTATTTCAAAAGTTCTTGTTACAGAGCCTGACACAAGTTCTGTTTCAAAAACATATCCCACAGGTAATTTGACATTGTTGATATGTTAATTTATTTTAATGTGAATATTATAAGTATTAGAAGAGCCTGTGATGGCTCAGGGGATTGAGCATTCGCCTTCCAATGAGGTGAGCCGGGTTTGAATCCCAGTCAATACAAATTCCGCATCCGGCTTGCACCGACCACAGTGCTGACGTGAAATATCCTCAGTGGTAGACAGATTATGGGTTAGCGTCCCCTTGCCCTCAGGGTAACTGTGGGAGATTTTTGTGATCTTCCTCTCCATGTAACGCTAATGCGTAGTTCCCTTAAAAAGTCCTCCATGAAGGCAAATTTCTTCCAATACTTGATCCAGGAATTCCCTTGTCTTCTGGATTGGATTCAAAATTACTAGGCTACATAATTGTGTAGTGGTAAACCCAAAAAGTGGGTCAGCTGTTCAACGACGGTAATAAAATTAAAATATTTAAAAAAGTAAGAATTAGAATTCAAAATTGTTTTATCAAGTTGCTTAATTTTAAGAGAACCAGGAACACCTGAATAATCTGAAAATTTAAAATTCTTAAGGAAACGATAAAAAAAAATGTAAGATATAAAAAATTTTTATCTGAGTAAAAAAATTTTCTTCTGTCTCATACATTGAATTTTTTCTTCAGTTCTTCCTTATAAAAAAATTTTTTTTAACATGTTTCATAAGAACTTTGTCTCGTGTGGCTTTAGTGTGTGTGATTGAATTTTTACTCTTCTGCTAATCATTTACCTAATGGTTCTTTGAGGACTGAAGTCTGCCTCAGAACAACTCTCCATTCTCCACAGTTCTGTATCCACTTCCAAGCCAGAAATCATTGTCAGTCTTTCCAGTCCAGTTCTATGATGTCAGTCTGGCAAATTTTTCCCTTAGCTTTCTTGACAAAAATGTTGAACGAGATAGGGATGTTAGCACAGCATTCAACCTCCAACCTAGAGGATTAGGGTACAGTTAAGTATCCTTTCTTATTGAGTAAAGAATCTGTGAACAGAATATATTATCAGGACAGTTCGACAGGGTGAACCTCTTTCATTTTTCAGAAAAAGATTCCACTATGTGGGTGGGAGACAAACTATTTTGAAAACAAAACAAATGTAAAGGAAGGAACTTGGTGTGGTGAACAGGATTCATACAGCTTCCATTGTCCACACCGTTAATTATCAGTTTCTTTCATTAATAAGCAAATTGCAACTTCTTGCATGATTCAAGTGGTAAAACATGTTTTTGCTTAGTGTGTTTCTTTGATTTTATTTTACAATATTAGAGTAATACAATTAGAATATATTTCTCTGCAATATAATAATAAGAAAAAAATTTAATCACTTTATTTCGTTGATCTGCTTTTTTAACAGTGTCTAGTTATAAAGTCAGCACAAAAAGGAAGGTTAATAATATTGACATAGCATCGTTTTTTACAAGAAAAAACTAACATTCAAAATGAGTTTAAAAATACTGATAGTCAGATATAAGGCCCACAACGATATGTCATAGGACTATACAGTCCTCAAAAGATTTGGATTGCACCTAAAAGCATTCCTTCAAAGGAGTGGGATATGATATTGAATTCCATGTTAAATCTAGAAAACACTCACAGGTAAAAATTTTAAGATTTTTAATGACATATGAATTTGGATAAATTATGAGAAGAATGATTAAAAAATGAATTTAGAGGACCATTCGCGAAACATAAAAATTGATGCACCGGTAAAAATAATTTTTACTAGACCCATTTATAAAAAGCCATTTTTAAAAACTTTTTTAAAAATCTTATTTGTGCCTAAGTTTTCATCATTTGGGGGGGGGGGCATTAATAAGTTGAGATAAATTTGGCATTCAAATAACTTGCCACACTATCAGAGACAATGAAAAATAATTTTCCTGCAGATTTCAATCAAACAACATGTTTTTTGAAATGATGCCAAATTCATGCATCTACATCAAATCATTAATAATAATGGCTGAAAATAATATCCTTGAAAGGATTTTATTTAGATGAAAATATTACGGATTAGTTCTTTTTTTTACGACAATTCTTGGCATTTTGTGATAAAAGAAAGTCCAAAGTTCGGAGTCCTTAATGTAAATTTAACTTCTGTGTATTTCACCATATCTCAAAAACTTCTTAAAGCGATTTGAAAAATTTTTGCTCACGATTATAAAATTTGTTTATTTGATACTTCAATGCAAAAAATATTTTTCAATAATTATTTATTATTTTTTATTATTTAAATTAGGAAAAGTAGAAAAAGTTCTGAATTTTAAGTTTTACAAATTTTTATATCATTTCATAAAATGTAATTTTATATGGCAAATATTGCACGAAATCCGTCGAACAGCTCCTAAAAATTTTTATTTTACAAAAGCGGTATATCCGTTAGACCAATTTGGTTAAAATTTTATACTCTACTATATAAAATTAAATTCTTTAAAGTGATTTAAAAAATTTTATATCTTACAATTCAATTTTTTTTTTCGAAAAATTATTAAAATTAATAATAACAAATAATTATTAAAAATGATTTTTTCATGGAATTATGTTTGGATAAACAAATTTTATAATTATGTGGAAAAAAAATTTTGATTCACTTAAAAAGTTCTCGAAATACGACAAAATATGCAAAGAGTAAAATTATAATTAAGGGGTTCAAAATTTTAACCTCTCTCCTGACCAAATTATCGCAACCATATTTTCCAGATTGCGGCAACTTAAAATATCATCAGTTAATAATTAATTAGTATATTTGAAGTCACCCCTATGAACCATTATGTTTGAGTCCTAGTACTTGGAAAATCCAATCATTAGATCAAAAGTTATTCAAGGCACTCCATATTATGAAGAAATTGCATTTTTGGAAGAAAATGTTCTGTATCCACTTCATTGAAAAAGAAAGGAAAATGAACTTAATTAAATAATGAAAGTATGTTTTTTTTTCCTTTACTTTTACTCAATCCATATGTTTTATATTTTATCTACAAGGGTTGTAAATTAAGTAATGGCAACATAATTTTTAATGAACTTACAAGTCCAATTGCATTACATTCCTGTGTATAATCACCAGCAAAGCTTATAACCTTTTACCAAATGTCAAGAGGCCGTTGTAAACCAGTGGCAAGGTGTTGATTGTTGATGTGAGCAACTGAGCGCCCTACTGCGTGGAGTACAGATGAAATGTCATGAAATGGGTGGCCTCGGAGGGGTTCCTTCAACTTCGGAAACAGATCGAAGTCACAAGGACTCCTGTAGGGAGAGTGTTCCAGGATTTCCCACTGCCACCGTCGCAATAGGATAGTGACTTTGTTTGCGACATGGCAACGAGCGTTGTCATGCAATACGATAGTGAGATTGTTGTGCAATAAACGTAGACGTTTGCGCTGCATAGCCGGACGCAGATGGTGCTGTAGAAATCGGCAATAGTAATCTGTGTTGACAGTTTGTCCTTCAGTTACAGCATGTGTAAGAATCACACCATCTCAGTCGTATGCCACAATCAGCATAACCTTAACCCGACTGGGTTCCTGTCGAAATTTCTGTGGACGTGGCGAACCTTGGTGACACCATTCATTTGATTGACGCTTTAATTCAGGCTCATAGGCTTGTGCCCATGTCTAATCAATGGCGACAATACGCTGCAGAAATGTGTCTCCTTCATTGCAGTATCTCTCCAAGTGGGTGCCAGCCAGTCATACCTGTACCATTTTTGTAATTCGGTTAGTCAATAGGGAACCCAGCAGGAGGCAATTTTCCTCATGTTGAGAGATTTCTTCATTATGCGCCACACCGTTTGATGACTCAGACCAACCTCTAAGACCGCTCAGGATATCAATCTGCTCTTGAGGAATGGAGGGCCGACCTGTGAGTTGCAAATCCCATTCTGACCCGAACGAAATGCTTGAACACATCGTGCTACTGTCCTATACGATAAAGCATTTCCGCTACAGGCTTCCACTAATCCACGATAGCATTCTGTTGCATTTTTGCCATGGGCAACCTCGATTTTAAGCCACGAATGCTACTCCCCTTTTGAAAACATGATTTAGAGCGATGTAAACGAAACTCATCATTTTAACGCCACGCAACAAATACCCTTCTAAGCAGATCTACTGTTTTTTGCACTCTACACATCGACTATAGTGCCACCTCACCGCTCCCATATCCTATTTGCGCATTACCCCCCCTTCTGTGAGTTTCAAGGTCAAGTTGCCACTATTTAATTTACAACCCTCGTATGTAAACTAATAAACAATTTATTTGTTGTGTAATGAATTTAATTTATTAATGAAAAATAACTATTAGATTAAAAAAATGTATTCTTATTTATATTTATACATATCTTATTTATATTTATCTTATCAACATTCATGAAAAGTAAAACTAAGATTTTCAATTTTAAGCCCCCTCCCTGTAGAATTATTTTCTGGTTGTGCCATTGGGGTGTTCCTCTTTGTCTGGTGTGTCCACTCTAGCTTAGGTGACCTAAGCAGCTTACTACTACTGGCATTGCTCTTAGATTTGACAATGCACACAAATCACAGCACTTTGCTTATTTGGGAACATAGAAAATTTTTGTGCAGTTAGTTTATGTATGTAAACTTATTACATTAAAATTATCCTGAAAGTAAGTTTCCTAAAAATGTCACTGAATTGCTGAAATGGAATTAAAAACTAATCTAAACCAAGTATTAAACTAAACTCCTTTGTGAGTTGACCATAGGAGAAAAATAAAGAATGCTTTTGATTTTTGTAAAGGGGAACAAATTTATTTTAAGAGAATAACGAAATAAATTTGAAAATGTTCAAATTAGTACAATACTAAATTCCTAGGTTCTGATATATTGATATTTAAGAAATTTTTTAATACAGTAGAGAACCGATTATCCGGAACGATCGGGACTATCGCTATTCCGGATAACTGATTTTTCCGGTTTTCTGAATCGCTACAAAAAGCCGTTTTTTTAGTGTTAAACCCTGGANAAAAAAAAAATATTTGGAAATAATCATTAAAAAAAAGATGAAGTAATACACTAATGATTATTTCTGAAATGATGGTAAGGTAAACATCTTTCAAAAAAGAAAGAAAAATCCTAAAATCTTATGAGGAAAAAAATTTTTTTTTTTAAAAATTGCGGGAAAATTTATCAAATTTCTTTCCGGTTTTCTGATTTCCGGATAACGGATTCTGTACTGTATAAAAACTGCCATGCTTAAAATTAAAATTTGCATTTTTTTTGTGGGGGAGGAGGTTATAACAATAAATAAAATTTTATAGTTATGATAAGAAAATGTTATTACATTTATCTATATTATGATTGTTAATATGAACACCAAAAAATGGCAATAAAGCAACATTAACTCATCTCCTATAGGTATTTAAAATGTAATGTACTCTCATTACATCCCCCCCCCCAATCAAGCAAAACCACTCATGTTTTTTAAAATAAAATATACTAATTTTTTTAATTAATTTTTTTCCAGCTTGTGCTTACATAAATCATGATTGTACCTGTGGACCCTACTTGAGTCCAAGACGAGTGGCTAATTTGCCTGTAAAGTATGGTCCTGGCTCATTAAATCGTGTTCTTCGAGAAGCTGTGCAAACCTTCATTGATTGCTCAGAAAATGAAAAAAGTGTTTTTTCTTTGTTAAAACAAGGTGAAGGAAAAGTAATAATTACAGGTAAATAGTTTAAGTTTTACATTAGTGCTTGATTTATGTTTTAAAAATAAGTATTTTCTTTAAAATTTTTCAATGGCAGTGCATATCAAGCACTGACATGGATGTACCCTTTTTTATTTTCACTTTTGTCCAGTAAGGCTCATAAGAGAAGTATTGAGATTGTTTATTATAATTCATCAATATGTATTCTGCAAATGTTTAAGAAAATATAATTGTCTTTTCTTTTTCTCTCTCTCTCTCTCTCTCTCTCTCTCTCTCTTTTTATGAGTTCTGTATCATTTTAGATTTTTATAGTTTCATGACCTTATGTACTTTTTAAAATTTTAATTTTTTTTTTTTAACGAGCAAAAAGTTTTCAGACAGACTTAGTTCATTTACTCCACACATTAAAAATATATATAAAAAATATTCTTTAAAAAATATGGGAGCAATAGATCATTGTATTCGCGTGTTTTAAATTATATGTAATTTATTTATAATATTTATTATATGTATATTTGTAAATTACCCTGAATAACTTTTGCTCTGATGATCAGATTTTCACATGTTAAGTGACAATCTCAAGGGTTAAAAGTATTTAATTCAAATATACAGCACAGAACTTTTTATCCGATATCAGAAAAAAACTTAAAAGATTTTGCTTTATTTTCCCACCATTCGAAAATAGAACAATTGAGGTAATGAGAATTTCAGTCATGTAGAAGGAATTTTTTCTCCCCATCTATCAAGAGAAAATTTCAATGTTTCTTCCTTAACCTTAAAGATCTTTAAGTTAAGAATGAGAAAGGGAACAAATTCTTTATATTCTCCTGTGTATTGGAAAGAATCACTGATTTTTGATAAGCTGCCATTAATCAAATATAAAGGCACTTCTTGCTGATTTTGTTTTCTCTCTGATTTATAAGAAGGAAATTCGTTACACGTGCTTATCAGTGGAAGGGTAATATAAAAAATATGTCACTATACTTTGCCATGTAAATATAATAAAGTAGAAAGAGTAAAGTGGAAATACAAAATTTTAGTTGGAATACTGAAACAGCCAAAATTTGGCTACTTTTTATTCAATAATAAAGTAGAAATATAGTTAGCTGTTCAGCATAAAGCTTTTATCTTGTATCTAAAAAACTGGGAAAAACTTTACTCATTCTCTCCTCCATTTTGAACTAGAATGATTGAGTCATCCTTAAAGCTGAGTAGCTGGAAAGCTGAGAGGACTACTTTTCTTCCTGTTTAATCAATCATAAAGGAGCAGCATATTTAAATAAAATGAAGTGAACCGAAAATCTCAATTAAAATTCTTTAAGCAATCAAATTATTGACTCTTGTAACTAGTTTCAACCCTTTTGCCGCCACCTAATGTTGAAATTTGTTCAAAAATCACTGAATTTATTAAAAGGGTTTCAGTTAATTAAATATTTTAAATCATTTTTATAAAAGCTGAGCTTCAGAATAAACTTGTTCTAACTGAACCAAGATTTAAAGAAACACGTCTAAATCTTATGCTGAAAATCCTGTGGTGTTACCTAAAATTGGTAATATACCTATTGGCAAGTTTGCCAACTGAATGCCAAAAAACAAATGCTCACCACCTGTTAGAAAAACAAACTGCTATCTGTCCAATTTTTGATACCTGAAAGTCAAATAGAATTATGTTAACACGAAGAAAGTGCAGATGCACAAAGCAGAGAAAGAAATTCTCCTCAAATCAGTCTCTGCCCCTTTATTGAGGTAGAATTCAGTAATTTTGGCCTTTTTTTATTTTATTTATTTATTTATTTTTTTCAAAGATGTAATTAGCATCTCGTAAATAAAGTCAGATGAAACGAATTATTTTGTTGCAAGCAGAAGGTGGTAGAAAAATTATCAATAAAATACATTGCTATGCTTTTCTGTGTTAATAAAGTAAAAAGAGTGGAGTGAAAATACACATTTTTATTAGAATTCTAATATAGCTATTTTTTTTATCCAATATTAAAGTAGGAATATAGTTAAACTGCATTGATTCATTCTGTGATCCAGAAAACTGGGAAATTCTGACATCCAGGATATGCTATGGCTCTCTGCATTACGAATAATTGGCTCTTTACTGTAATTAATTATAGTATAAATTGTTCATGAAATTTCAAAATTGGGCTGAAAAATGTACTTTTTCTGAATAAACATGCCTTTTTTCAACAGATACTGATTATTCTTGACAAACTAAATTTGGGGGACTAGCCGCAATCGAAAATATGGTCCTAATAAGTTAGTCAGTGAGAGCAAGTCGTCATTACTAATTTCACTTTTTACCATATCACAAACATTTTTTAAGCAACATGAAAACATTCTGCTTACATTTATAAAACTTGTTTATCCAAAGAAAATTCCATGTAAAAAAACTAACGTATTATTTAATAATGATTAAAAAAAATTAGTAATAAGATTAGTTAATATTTACAATTTTTCAACTATATAAGTTTATGTGGGCAAAATTTGAACAAAATCATTGAATAATTTGAGTAGTAAAATTTCTAAGAAGCCATTTTGTTGAACTTTTTTTTTCCTACAACTAATTGCGTTTTCTTTGAAATTTTATATTTTGACAGTTAAAATTAGACAACAGTTTCTAAGGAGATTAAAATTTAAGTGAATTTATCGCCTCCTCCTTTTGAAGTTACTTAATGTATGTCTTTAAAAAATAAATAAATAAAACAAATTTCAGTTCAGAAAAAACATGCATTGTTTGAAAAAAAACTCATTCTACTACGACATCTACATTAAAAAAAATAGCAATGCTCTTGGAAACTGTTTCACTCTCTGCAATGTTATTTCTATAGTTGGTTTGCATTGGATTTCTACCGAATGCAACTTCATTGGAAAATTATCTTTAAACAATGAAATTTCATGTTCAAATTTTGTTTAAATAATGCTGTTTGTATCTTTACAAAATGTGGCCCAATTATTGTTAGTGATAAAAAGAAAATCATGCTTGGTTTCTTATTGAATAATAGTGATTTTAAAAAGGCTTCAATTCTGAATTATTAACTCATTAATGCCTAATTGCAAGAAGTTGGCTTTAAATGAGTAACACCTGTATGAAATGGGTATTTCTTTTACTTACCTACTTTTTTAGCCATGAAAAAGTATTGTGCTTTGCCTTTAGATCCAATTGTAAATATTTATAATTTGAATATATTATAACTAAATGAACTATCTTGTTTCTTTCAAAAATAGCCCTACTAATGCTTCTACTAGTGGTTCCACTTTTTTTCTTTTTTGAAAAAAAAAATTTTTTGTAATTTTTTTGTAAACTGGGAACCACTTTTTATACTGAATAGATACTACAAGTTTATGCCTATATTTATTTCACTACAAATATTGCAATGATGTAAAAATTTACTTTTCAAAAGAAATGGTACTAGCAGAATTTGTAGTTCCATATTTTATATACAAGATTTGATAGACGAATCTGATCATCCTAACATCTTTGCTTTTCTACATGCTATTGATATTTTAAACTGTATATAATTGTTTTATAATTATCATTCTGTCAAATTCTATTACCTTTTATACGTTTTTTCCTATGCACTGTTTTGCTAGTAATAACCATTTTATCCATTTTTATCTGTATTTCATGATCATAAATTGAAAGTATGTACTTTTAAAGCTAAACTGCTTTAACGCAGCTTGTCCTTTCTTGGACCTTGTGCCATTAAGCCCTACATTCAATTCAATTCTGGAAATGAACCAGGTTTCATATTTATTTCTTTTAATATGTTAGTAAAATTTGTGTATGGATTGAAATCACACTATTTCAAAATTTCACTATTCATTTTGAGCATTGGATTTTATAATTGACCAGCAATTTTTACATTGTTGTGAAAATGTCACAAGGATCCCAAAATGTTCGACCATCTGATTTGAATGGCCTCACAATGATTACATGTTTTATCACAAGTTTTCAAAAGAATGTAAGAATTCATTTGTCACAAGCAGGGTTGGAGTTTTTGCCGGCAAAAAGGGGTTTTTGCCAGGACAGTGGCAAAAACCTGGTAAAAACCGGCAAAAACTGGTAAAAACCGGCAAAAACCAAATTATCTAAATTGCTGATTAAATATTATTACAAAATACTTGAAACAAATTTAAATCAATCATAAGGAGGTAATTGTTCTC